TATAAAAGCTATAACTTGCTTAAATTTAAAGAGCTTTATAAGGAGAATAATATTATTACGCTATATATACCGCCGCACGCCTTATATCTATTGCAGCCGCTTAATATAGGCTGTTTTGCGCTGTTATAAAAAGCGTACGGTTGCTAAATTAAAGATCTAGCGCGCAACTATATTAACTATATTATAAAGCTTAAGTTTATACCAGCTTTTAAAGTAGTATTTAATAACTTATTTATAAAAAGCAATATTTGCGCAAGCTTTTAAGGCGCCGGCCTTATACTGCTTAATCTAAAGGTAGTGCTTTTAAAGCTTAATATTATACTTTATACGCTGTTGCCTTTTACTATAGTAGAGGCTTAATAGGAATTAAAAATACTAAGTAATACTTTTAAGCTAGGCTTTTAATTAGCTTTAATTTATAATTATTTTTAAATGTATTAAAATAGCTTTTCTACTGCAATTCTTAAGTTGCTTAATTTGCTTATTAGAGGCGCTAAGATATAAATATATAGGGCAGTATTATTGCGTAATTAGGTTATAAGCTTTTAAAAGGCGAATAAGGCCGCTATAAAGCGTAGAAAGCGCAAAAAAAAGCGAATTTAGAGGCAAAAAGTCCTAATAAAGGTATAGAGGTCTAATATAATCGCTTAAAAGAAAGCTAATAAATAAATTAAGGGCGAAATACGTTAAAATAGAAGGCGCCCAGGTGGAAGTGCACGGCAGCAAGCGCGCTATAGGCGCTGCGGCGAAACAGGATATAATACTTATACGTGTTAAAAAGATAAGGAAGTTATTATAGAATAGACTGCAAATTAAATTAAGTTAATATCTATTAGCGTTGTAGAGCAATCTACGTTTAAAGCTATTAAGAGTTAATAAGGTAGCCGGCTTGCTTAGGTGGCCGGCTCGCTTGTATTGCACGTTAATAACTTCTATAACTTTAATAAAACCGGCTTCTAGATAGGTATTATTTTAATAGAAGTAGTTATTATAGGCTCTAAAAAACAAAATTAACTAAAAGCTATATAACTAGGTAATTATAAGTAGGCTACTATAATTAAGGCTATTAATACTTATAGATAGGTAATCCTGCTATTTATTATCCTTATAGGTAATTACTACCTCTTTATATAGTATAAAGGCAGTAATATACTGCTAAACTAGGCTATAGTAGTAAGTAATAATAGCTGGATAATAAATAAGCTTAGTATTATATAGCTGTAATATTTTAATACGTATATAAAGGACCGCACTATAGGTATATATTACCTGCTTATTTTAGATAGCTATAAAGGCTATAACTTACTTAAATTTAAAGAGCTTTATAAGGAGAATAATATTATTACGCTATATATACCGCCGCACGCTTTATATCTATTATAGCCGCTTAATATAGGCTGTTTTACGCTATTAAAAAAAGTGTATAGTCGCTAAATTAAGGATTTAGTGCGCAACTATATTAACTATATTATAAAGCTTAAGTTCCTACTAGCTTTTAAAGCAGTATTTAATAACTTATTTATAAAAAGTAATATCTGCGTAAGCTTTTAAGGCGCCGGCCTTATACTGCTTAATTTAGAGGCAGTGCTTTTAAAGCTTAATAATATTTTTTATATACTATTGCCTGCCGCTATAGAGGCTTAATAGAACTTAAAAACACTAAGTAATACTTTTAAGCTAGCTCTTAATTAGCATTAATTTATAATTGCATTTAAATATATTAAAATAGCTCTTCTACTATAATTCTTAAGTTGCTTAATTTACTTATTAGAGGCGCTAAAGTACAGATATATAGGGCAGTATTATTGCGTAATTAGGTTATAAGCTTTTAAAAGGCAAATAAGGCCGCTATAAAGCGTAGAAAGCGCAAAAAAAAGCAAATTTAGAGGTAAAAAGTCCTAATAAAGGCACAGGGCTCTGAAATAATTGCTTAAAAGGAAGCTAATAAACAAATTAAGGGCGAAATATATTAAATAAGAAGGCGCCTAGGTAGAAGTATATAGTAGTAAGCGCGCTATAGGCGCTGCAGTAAAATAGGATATAATATTTATATATATTAAAAAGATAAGGAAATTGTTATAGATTAGACTGCAAGTTATATTAAGTTAATATCTATTAGTATTATAGAGTAATTTATATTTTGCATCGCGTTTTAGTAATAGAGTAGCCCGCTTATTTAGAAGGCCCGCTTACTTATAGAGTACGTTATAGATAGTAATTTTATAAACATTTATAGGCTGCCTTATATACTACCTATTTCCTGTAACCTTCCTATATTGCGTAGCTATACTATTTAGTATAGCTAATAGTATTATACTTACTACTGCTACTACTGCTGCTACTGCTATAGTATATATCTTCCTGTATATTAACAACGTATATACTTCTTTTTTATATCCTTTATTAATTTTATTAGCTTTTTCTATAGAGTTTGCTATAGATTATCTGCAGTATTTAAAAGGCTAAATAGAACGCGTTCTATAAAGTTATAAAGGGTTTAGATAATTATATTTATTTTAAGAAATTAGATTAGCTTATTCTATAGAAGGTTTTATATACTATATACTTTATTAATAAGGTTTTAGACGTTTTAGTAGACGTTTATAATAGGCTTCGGGTTTTAGTATTAGTTTTAGCGTTGTTATTATTATTGTTGTTATTAATGCTATTACTAAGACAACTGCGTATTAGGGGTTATAATCCGTGGTATACCTACTATAATACCGCTAGTACTACTTATAGGGCTTTAAGGCTGCGTATATTTATTTGCAGGGCCTTAAATAGCCCCTAGGGGCCCTTTTTAGGTCGTATTTCTAAAATACTATAGGGTTAATTGTATTATATTTTTTTAGTAGAGTATATAGCTTATTTACTACCTATATTATATAAAATAGAACTAAGTTCTATACTAATATAAGCCCCTAAATTTTGTACTTTAGAATTATAATAAACCTTATAATAATATTAGTTTTTAGGGAGGGCTAATCGTACACCCCCTAACGAATAATCGTACACCCCCTAACGACTAATCGTACACCCCCTACTCCCTTGTTACTTCACCGCCTTCTGATTGGCTTAGAGGGTTGCTCCAGAGCTTCCGATTGGCTCGCTTCACTTGCTCACTAATTCCGAACGCTGTCTCCAATTGCAGCCACGTAGCCTCCAGCGCAGCCTATCTGATTTGTGCAGCTATATATACGGCCGTACGTGAGCTCGTACGTGAGCTCGTACGCGAGGCTATACAACTCAGCATAGCTATACAGCCTCTCCATTTTACAGTGCATCCGGGCCGATTTGTGCAGCCGTATATACAGCTCGTACGTAAAGCTGTACGTAAGGCTGTACGTGAGGCTGTTCGTAAGGCTACACAAATTGGAAAGGCTATATAGCCGTACGTAAGGCCGTACGTGAGGCTATACAAATCGGAAAGGATGCGCCGTAAAACGGAGAGGCTGTATAGCTATATCAATTCGTATAGCCTTACGTATAGTCTCACGTATAAGCTTACATATGGCAGAGATACACGTGTAGATAGACGTAAGGGTGAATGTTCGGAGGCCTACTGCCGGACCTCCGAGCCAATCAGAAGCGGTAAAGTAGGGGGTGTATGATTATTCGAAAGGGGGTGTACGATTATTCGTTAGGGGGTGTACGATTAGCCCTCCCCTAGTTTTTAACTAAATTTACTTATTTCTAGGCTAAATTATACCTTTTATTATAAAGATTTAGAAATCTTATAAATCCTATATAAAGTACTTCTTCTTTTTAAGCTCTATATAGTACTATTTAGTTAAGTACTAGTTATAATTAGTTAAATTAGTTTAGAATAAGTTATTAGGGTTTTTATTTAGAATAAGTTAATAAAAATAACTATACTTTTTTTTTTTTTTAGATAAAGGATATATACTTATTAGGGATAGATAATATTGGCATCAACATCGGGATTAGCATTAATATTAATATTCAGCACTTAGATCTATTACTATCTTAACGGGCGGCAGAAGCAGGAAGGACAGCAGTTATTTACTAGAGGATTTATATTTATGGCAAGTATTTGGGGACTAGCACCATTATAATGGGAGACACATTGGAGGACACATTTACTCTTTGCGAACTCGCCGTTCATTGTCTAAATTAGTGGTGATTGTCGGCCCCTTCCTGTCTAGCCGCTTACTTAGCAGCTTCCTGTGTATATCTTTCCTCCTTCCGCTTAATAGCTAGCTTCCTAACCATCATTGATACAGCTTTTGGCTACACACCTTGTCTTGTTCCGCTTCTCTCCGACTGTCGCTCACCGTGCCACAAACCGGACGTTTTTTACTCCGCGGTAGAGCTTGGTACATCAGACAGCCTTGAACATGAAGGGCATCGCCGAGGCTGTGGCGTAAGACTCTTCGATCTATAGGTCAGTCAGGTACAACCCCCCACGTTACCAACACACACATGCATATAAGAAAACCAATGAATTGTAGCTATAGAGCCTGCTTTGCTTGGCTTTTGGGGACACCCAAACATGGTGGAGGGCAAGGGGTCTAGCGCTTCCGGGGCTCCTGCACTCGGGTTGCAGCACTACAACCTAGGGTCAGCAACTCATATGCAGTAACGTATCAGGATAGCATGCTGATACAGGAGGAAGTAACAGGTAGTGCAACAGCAGTGCTGCAGCACGGTATCAGTACTGTATCAGGAAACAGGATGAATCAAGTAACGCGTCAGGAAGAGATACTACGTTATGCCCCCGGGGCTGGCCCCCCTCCTTCACCTAGTATATAAACAACGAGCTAGACACCCATAGAAATCAGAGTTCACATCAATTTCAACCTGAGTCCTGCAGTCAGCCTGCCCATACGTATCGTTGCCTACAGCTGAGAGACAATGCGAGTCGTTTTGATTCTTGAGTATCTCGCACTCTATTCCGAAAGGTCCCATCCAGACCCTGACTCATTGAACATACGAAGCAGACGACCTTTGAGGGGCAGGTACTCATCATTGTAGCTGAAATGGCGGCTCCAGAAGTTCTTGGATTATCAAAACCATTTGTCGATCCAGCAGATGCAAAAGTAGAGTAAGATTATCTAGCAACACGCTGTTAAGTAAAGTGTCGCTAAGATTGTATCCCAGCATTGTCTTCGTCCACGGATTGAATGGCGGCAGAGAATCAACATGGACGCATGAACCATCTCATGTATTCTGGCCGAAGGATCTCCTACCGAAGGCTTGTCCTGAAGCTAGAATTCTGGCCTTCGGGTACAGTTCAGGCTGGGTACGCTTCTTCGGCTCGGTTGGTACGCAGGGCATCTCACAGACGACCATTGGAGATCATTCTGCGGCATTACTGGGAGACTTAGCAAAATTACGAGACCGAACCGAAAGTGTAAGCCCCAATTTCGGACAATGTTTCAACTGGGTCAGGCTGACGCATTCCTTCTGACAATGACAGAACGAACAACCACTTATCTTTGTGGCCCATAGTCTCGGTGGGCTGGTCGTTGCCAACGCTCTTTCATCCCCTCACGGTGATAACATTGGAGCGCAAAGTGTCGTGAAAGCTACTCGCGGAGTGCTTTTCTTCGGAACGCCTTTTGAAGGTTCAAATAAAGCCCGATGGGGTGGAATCGTAGAGACATTTCTCAAGGTCTTCACCGAAACAAACCCCAAAAACATCGAAACACTCAAAGAGCACTCTGATAGTCTTGTCGCTATCAACCATAACTTCGCAAAGTTCTTAATGAGTCGGGCAAAGTCTCAGAAAGAGCATTCTGTCGAAGTTGCCAATTTCTTCGAGGAACTGTCCTTGAAAATAGGAAGAAAATCGGTTGGAAGAATTGTGACGCAAGATTCAGCCACCATCGTTGGCGTTGATCCTATTGGCATTGAGGCAGATCACATTTCGATGTGCAAATTCGAAGATGAAGAGAGACGTGGTTATGTCCGCGCTTCGGAGCAGTTGCAGGGCTGGATCAAACGTTTGCCTCCAGAGCCGAAACAAGAAAAAAGAAAAGTGTGTATCAAACCGAAAGTCATTGTGTACGTTATGTAGCTCATCGCAAAAAGTTTTCGGTATTTCAAGGGAACGTCACTTACGGTAAAATCGACAACAACCGTGGCGTTGTAACCGGAAATGTATATTCACCAGCTGCACATGGCGTCCAGCTTACCGGAAGTAACAATGTGAGTAATCTGCGTTCTCTTAAGCTCATATACTTATGAGAGCAGTATTAACGTACTTCACAAGCGGGTCGGCCACACAAGCGAGTCGGCCACCTCATCATATTTAGCTGCCTTAAACGTTGATTACTCCACAACGCCAATAGATATCAACTAGATACAAGTTGTAGCCTAATCTGCAGCAACCTCTGCATCTTTTTTGCACGTACGAGCGTTGTGCCCTGGTTCGCCGCAGCGCCTACAGCGCTGCACGCCGCCGCCGGAGCGCGCTCCGGCTTGCTGCCTTTTGCTTT